ATATTTTTCGATAAGTTTCAGACATGATTCATCAGAAAAACCTTCAATAGTTGAAGAAAGAAAAGATTCACTTGGTGTACATCCAATTTTTAAACCTTTAATTGGAATTTGTTCAGATTCTGAATGAAAGAAAGCTTGACTTGTACAATTGAAATCTAAATCACAAGAACAATTATCATAAGTTATAGATTGAGTAGGTGCATAAACTCCATCTATTTTATCCCAAGGAATAATATATTTATAATTCGTTCCATATGTCGATATGACACCATCTCCATGATTTATCTTACGAATCAAAAATAGAAGTTGAGCAAATACTTGTGGAGTGTTTGACTGAATTTGTTTAATTATAGAATTAAAATGTTGATCAAATTCAGTTTTAAATAAAAGTTGAGTTGTGATGAATAATGAAGTATGAAATTGATGAACGGAATTATTGATTAATTCAAGAGAAAGATCACAAAGTCCACGAAGAAATTGTAAATGAGCTGAAAGAAAATAACGATAATCTGTTCGTGGATAACGTAAAAGATTAAGATCAAGATCATATGTTATTATTATTCGCCAGCGATCGGAAACAAATGGACTTGAACAAATCTATGGAAGAATCAATATAATATTCATATACTCAAATCATTTTCCTTACTTGATGAAATCGGGGTTCAAGACTAGCAAATTCATTGTATTTTGATGCAATATGCGAACAAGAACATTTCAGGCGATTTTCATATTTTTTGATTAAACGATTGTAATGATCAAAAGATGGTTCATAAAACATCTTTGTTTGAAATTCAGGTCGAATAATAGTATAAAGAATGAGAATAACAAGACCAATGATGAATAAAATAATATATAAACGAGTTGACCATTGACCAAGACGTTTGACAGTTGCTCGATCATTACGACTATCAAAATCTCGTGGAGAGAAAACGCTCAGATTGATCAATTGAGTATGCACAAATGTACTTAGTTTTCTTATGATCATCACTAATCGATCGAAAAACTTTTGATTAACTATAAATAGATAAAAGAAAAAAAACAAATAATCTTTGTTTAAACATTCAACAAAACATGAACAGATTTGAAGGGTAAGGACGAGAGAACTCAAACAATGTTGAATAACTTTTGAATTGATGAAACTCATTGACATTGATTTCGGTAATGCGCAGTATTGCAAAATACAATTTACTCGCGTCTGGATAGGTCCAAACTTGCATGTCATAAAATGTAAAATATTTATTCTGCTTAAAATCGAATTTTTTGTTCTTTAATTAGAATATGATGTTAAAACTCACCATTCACATTGGGTTTTGCTTTTGATATTGGTTTCTTTTTTCTCGTAATAATTTCCCTCAAAAATAGTATTATTTTGACTAGATAAAGTGCAACTATCCGAAGTGAAACGGTAAGACCACCGACCAAAGAGATCAATACTATGGTTACTTCAAGAGCATCTTTGGTACGAGTTCGTTTTAGATAAGTACAATATTTTGGTAAACATGATTGGTAAAACTTTTTATAGGAGAAAAATGGATTCCATTGTTCGATCATTAATTTTCCAATGATTGACTTTATTAACGTATCAGGTGGAAAACGACTATTTGTTGAATTATACACAAGGGGTTGAATTGGTGTTTTATCGCTCGATGAATAATGCAAGTATAAAGTTCCTAAGAAAACTGTTAAACAATCAGAGTGAATGTAAAAGCATTCAAGTGTCGAGAAGAGAACAGAATCAACCGTAAAACATCTTTGCGCCAAGCCTGATGTGTTAAACGAATAATGAGCATCGAAAAATATTGAAGATATTATATTAGAACTTATTAAATAATCATCCGTTTGGCAATGAGGATCTGTTGGGCAAATACAATTAGCTAACGATGATTTTGTATCATATATTTCAGTCAACTTGAATGTAAGCTATAACATAAAAAAAACTATTCATTTAACGATAGTTTCTTTTTATTTGAAAGTCTAAGTAAGATTTAAATGAATACATACGTTTAATGATACTTTGTTGTTTATTTTATTTTCCCAAGGATGAACGATTAGATTTAGATCACCGTGACCGGGATGATATTGTGACGCTGCTGTATAAGGTTGATCAATTTGAGTAAAAAGACTTGTTGTGTTGACAAGTACGTGAAAAGATATCATTGTCAACTGAAAAAATTGACTCAATATTTCGTTTATTTGTGCGTCAAAAATAGTTTCAGTTAGAACATCAGAAACAGCAAATTGTTGTAGAAGCAGTCGATTTATTGCATCATCAACCGTTCTATTAGCCAATTGACAAAAATCAGATAACAATTGAAAATAAGACGGAGCATATTCAAACCACTTATCGAGTTGCTTTTTGCCTATCGTTTTTTTCATCATAGATATCAAATATTTACTGACAAAGATACTTTGACACACTTGATGCATGCTTGGATCTAATCGAAGGAATTCTTTATAAGGAATTATCATCGTAGAACAAGGACATTTTAATGTATCTTTGTACAATACTTTTAAATTGTTATAAGTATCGAATGATGGATTTCGTTCAGTTATAGTAACATTTTCAGTATTTAATGAATGGAAAAGAAGAAAAATCATGAATGAACCTAATCATATAGAAAAAAAGAATTTTCTAACAATAGGATTATTTGGTCAGCATGGTATCGAAAATTTTAGATAGAATATGTCAAATGAGTTCGATCTCGAACATACTGATCATCAAAGGATAAAAACAGAACTATATTTAATAAAACTAATCATACCAGTGAGAAGAATGATATAGATATATGTTATAATCCGTTGTTGTTTGATACCATTTGCCGTTCGATCGGCAGGTGTTTTGTACAAATTCATTTGTTGTAATAATTTACCATATTTACGTAAACGTGCAATAATAGTTACTACAAGTAGAAAAACATCATATTTCAATATTATATCTAATGAAATGGATTACTATTCTTATTCGTTGATGGAGATTTGGGTTTGCACATTATACTGATGAAATATGGTATGATGAAGCGAAGTATGATTGTAAATCCACCATAAAGACTGATGAGAACAGTCAATGCATAATAAATGTTTTTTTTACTTTTTGTTGTGTATGAACAGGATATTGATGTACATTGATGAAAATATTCTGAATAATTGGTATTTATTGACCAATGGTCAATGAAAAGACTTTCTAAATGACCATATAAAGAGAGATTTTGCTGTTTTGAAGAGAGAATTGAATTATTCAAATCGAAGTTTGTCTATAGAAATGAAATATAAATAAAAAATAATTAAATGATTAGTTTTACTTGAGTAATAGATGGAATATATGTGATTAATAATTCAATACATTCTTTATCATGCAAACAATCGAGTGTACTCCGAAGAAAACTTTCAAAAGGTGTACATGCTGCAGAAAATCCAATAATAGATTCATAACTGGGTGGATCATTTACCGATAACAGTGATGCCGTAGGATTTAGAGGACTTTGTGTTGAATAAAAAACAGCCCCCATAAATACATTTTCACTGTCACACGACAGTTCGGCTCTAGACTGGATGGATTGAACGTAAGTTGACGCATATTTCTCGGCAATGTACCGTTCTGTCACATCAAATATAGTTTTGATCTTTATGTTTGTATTGAGAGCAGAAATGAAATTGTTCGATTGACTAGTTGTATTAATATAGTTAACATATGACATCAATCGAATCGATGTACTATTCCTAGCTGATTCGATAGTAGTATTCACTTTCGATTCAAGTTGTTTTTTAGAAAGAAGATCAACAGTAATTAATTCATAATTGGCAATTTCATCTTTAGCTTGAGAAATCATATCCTTAGCAAGAGAACAAAAATCAGCCAAAAATTGAAACTAAATTAAATGAAAATCATTTTCATATAAAACATTATTTCTTATTCGAAAATAATCAAATCCTATGAAGAAATTTTGATAACTATTTTAGCATTACCTGAGAATGAGCTATTATTCGAAAATCTCTTGGTATATATCGACTGGCATTTGGTGAATATACAGCTTTGATCCATTGTTGACTTATAAAATAGCTTCGACATAGAGGATGATATGTTATATGATGAGAAACAAATTTTTTATAAGATATCGAGGTGGTCGAGCATGGACATGACAGGATTTCTCCATCTTTGGGATGGATTTCATTCAAAATTGTTTCACTGATATCATAGGTCGTAATTGTATGAAATCGTGTTTTGACCATGGAAATGTAAAAGAAAAAATAAAGCGACACTGAAAATATAATGGGACAAATTTATTAATAAAAAACTCTAAAGTTCTCTTGGGAGCAATGCTGAAATCAAGGCGTAACGAGCGGATTCCCGGGAAATCTTCGACAATGAAAAACTGAAAATAAGACATAAAATCTATTGAAATTCATGTGCATCTTTTAGACATGACAGGAATTTTCCAGATATTTTGCTGATATTGAATGAATTTTGCGATAACTTAATGCTTTTTTTTTAAATATTTTACTGTCTAGATCTATCGTTTAAAAATACCACAGTTGTGAGTACATCTGCAATATATTGTCAATTGATCAATATTTTACAGACTCGAATTGAGTTGCTCTATAATTAAATACAAACAAGTAACGCGCATCTTTTGATTTCGCCGGCCCCTTTCTGGAAGACTTCCAAGAGTATTCATGATATTCAGATACTTGGATAACAAGATATTCGATGTAAAAGTCGCTAAATCTTCTACAAAGAAATTGGTTAGCTTTTATTTGAAAATTCTGCTTAAGAACCAATTTTTGTGCATAGTAAAGATTTGCTTTCAGTATCGTGAGAACTATAACAAAGGATGCATCGTAATTGCTACCGACCACCTATTATAAGGATTTGATAAAATTGATTATCGCACTTAAAATAAAACAAAGATTCGTCTTGGTTCATAGATTCGGTTACTTGACATTTCTCAAAAATTCATTTGCCCACATTCATTTCAATTACTAGGTGCTCATTAAGTCAAATGTCTCCACTATTTTTGATGGTTCTTGATTCACTTTTGAAGTGTCCCAGGTTAATGAATACGACATCTAAATGCGAGCGTACACGGCGCTTATTATTTGATATCGAGTTTTTTCATGAATACTTTACTAACAAAATTTTAATAATGGTTTACTTGAGGATAAATCGGGCCGAGGAATACGAATCTGCTGTTAGTCTTTAAAATTCTTTAAAGATCGTAAAAAACGAGTAAATTTTTTCGAAAAGATTTTTCAATAACGACTGGGTTCAAGGGCAATTAGGGCCGAGTGTAACGAAAAACTGGTTGAGTAGCTAACCGCTTCTCACGGTATAGATGTTTATTGACTACTCTACATGACCAGAATGTCCCTATTTCACAATAAGACACGCGCTTATATAGAGAAGAGGAAAGAGAGAGATGGCCCGGAGAAAGTATGATATAGAGGTGGAGAATAAAGAACAGAAAGAGATGAACGATATCATTATCGTTACACTGAGGAACATGTATCTAGCGTTAGTTCTTATAAGTTTTAGTAATTAATATACTGACTATAACGTCACAAATATCTGCGGCTGTCGTTTTATTCAGCGTACGACAGTCGTAAACGGCTGTTTACGCCTGTAGATGTTCAATCTGAGGTATACGTTATAATCTTGTTTGATTCTCTCTCATAAAAGACATGAATTTATGTTAATACGATTCCCGAAATGAAGAAAAAAGAAGTGGAGTCACTATTTTATGAATCGCTATATATAGAACATGTCCGTCTATCATAGTTCTTGACAAGTTTCGGATGTAATTTATATCTTTGATGTCTATGAGTTCCCAACAGTAGAACCATTATTAAATACCTGACTTTTATTCGCATATTTCTGATAAAATTGTGTTATAACCTCCGTTTCCGGTCACTTGAATTACGGTTTCCATAATGCATTTACTAAATTTTATACTAATAGCTCATAGACGACCCTAATGATATACAAGCCACGAACTTCAATCGATCATTATCTTTCATTAAAATTTTAGAAAGACATATTTAACGGTTTGCTTTACCTGGAGAAGAACAATAGACCCACACAGACTTGATTAGAAGGAATCAATATCAGATTCAAATCTGAACAAAAATTTGAAAACAAGAGTTTCTCTAGAGAGAGCAGTGAGAAAAGGCCAGTGGCAATGGTTCACAAAAAACTGATATACTTCGACAATTTCGAGATAGCACGTATATCGAGATGAAACTAATGTGTCTATTATTCTAGGATTTAATACACCAAAACCACTGAAATCCCGCAATTCTCAGAGCATCTTCTATACATGTAAAGAAGAAAGTTTGTCTGTCTGTCTGTTTGCTCCCTACGTATTTAGTCCCTGTAATAGCTATCGTCAGCAAACTTTCCACAGTGTACCTAAGGTCCGGGGGGAGGTCGACATCTACTTTATTCCGGACAAAAATGCATCCTATCTTTGCTACAGGTAAATTATGAATCTGACCAATAGTATTACAACATTTGAAAGTTGGAGTAGAGCGGCAGCGAAGGCGGCCAAAGACCGTTTGAACGCTCATAAACAACAACCTACGTCTTCTAGTCACATATAGAAGTCCTGTGCTTGCTACAGGCAATCTGAGGAACTGGTCAATAGGATTACAGAATGTATGTATATATAGCGATATGAAAGCTTTCGTGTCTGTGTATTCAGTATGCATTCAATTCCCACGATATTTAGAGCGACTAGACTTCTTGTCACGCTTCCGTATGGATAGAGTAACGCCAGTATGAAGTTCGTTTCTCAGATAAAGACTGGGTAGGATAGCTGAGTGAAACTTTATCCTAGCCATGCGAGTCAATGTTTGAGAAATGAAGTGAATTCGTTACGATTCTATCATTTATCTTTCTTATCAATAGGCTTTTTATTCAAAGAAGCTGAATGCCATGTCGACGGTCATCAAGGCATATGGGTGTATTTGGGCAAAATTTCACCTACGCATTATCGCATGTATCTAAGAAGAATAGTTGCAACCGAGCGATTGTTTTCTAAGATAGGAAGGAAGTGAGAGTTGCAGCGAAACCTGTAGATATGCAGTAACTGTGAAAGTTGTAATAAAAGAAAAACATTTTTTGCAGTGGACGTCGGCATGAATGAGGATTAGAGTGCAAAGGCCAGAGAGCAATCTGAAGGATGACACCCAATTAAAATTTCTTAATTTGCAGCGGGCTTCCCTCTGGTATAATATATGGAGGAGTGAAGTAGTGATACGTTGAGATAATACACTCAAAAATGGTCTGATGATCTAATATAGTATGCTATGCGATTTTTCGAATGAAGGAAGAGATACATTACGTACTGATAAGAAGAAGAATATATAACCATGTGGAATATTTTTGATGCTTAACAATAATTGTTTGACATTGTGATTCATTTCCGCTTTCATCAGGTTCATCTTCTTCTGGAATAAAAAAATTCCAATGTCGCACATAATCATAAAACCAAAAGAACAAAAGTTTGGGATGCATAATGATTGATAAAGACAACGAGCAAATTATTTTGGTAACGGATAAAACGTTCTTCTAGTATCTCCTACAAATGTAAATACAATAAAACAAAGTTTCATAAGATAGAAAAATGATAAGACCTTTTCACAAGAAATATCGAATAAAGTTAGAAAGCTCAACTATAACGTAAATGAGATCTATTGGGTGTTATATTCAGGTGAAATATGTGCTACGAAAACACTAGCTGTGCGACTGGATCGACTTCACCGGATTTCACTTGCATAATTGCTGCTACTACTAACTAGAATACCAGTTTATTAATAAAGTAATTGAATTTTATCTTTCGTACATTTAACTAACGAGAATATCTTAATAGATGAAAGAGAAAAGGACATCATCGGTAGAAAAAAAACGCTCAGCCGAAAATTTTTTGTAAAAAACATCTTTTAATGGCGAAATTAGAATTTTGTGAATGGTAGAACTCATCATATGTACGATACCTATAGAAATTAGGAGTATTACTTTATCTTTATTCTTTAGGCAATAAAGTTAAAATGAAGAATAAAGCAGATTAATAATTGATATAGCAATAGGAACCATCAAGCTCAGTTCTTTCCTTTCATCAGTGATATTCTGGTATAAGATAATACCAGTAAATGGTGTTGATTTATAAAAGATTAAAGAAAAACAATCTTATTGGCAAATTTGTTATCGTCTCTGGTATCATAGTTTTGTGTAAACTATTTGAAAAAGATATCATTTGAGGTTTGTTGCCTCTACTGGAAGGAGGGTGTACACAGAATTTGAGTTAAAGCTCTTTCGTTCGTTCACGTACTTTACACTAATAGAATAGCACTCTATACTGCTGACTAAGAGAGTTTAACCCAAAGGTAATCGGTGTCGAGGATGACGAATTTGGTGTTAGTTTTCTCGAAATTCCAATCGACTAATTAAATAATGACCAATTAAGGAATAAAAATTTTGTAGTCGCAGTAATACAGGTGGTGTTTTTTTTATAAAGGAATGGAAGAAAAAAGATTGATTCGTTCCGCAACTGATTCTAAACTACATAAAAGAGTGAAAATGTGTATGTAACAACTAGTCGCGAGTGGCTCACCGGAGGGAGGCCGACGAGCGACTAGATGCTAGTCTTACAAGATGTTAGGAAGGAGTATGAGTAAAAGATTGGCATGAATTATCAAATCACCGGATCATTTAAATGGCGTCATTGTTATGTCTTTCTTTTGAGGAATATGGAAGACCTTATAATTTCCTTTCAGTACAGGGTCAGCGGCTACTACGCCGCGTTACTTGTAAAGAAAAGCAACACCCCTAATAGAAATGCGCTTCACTCTAGAGAAAGAAAGCGACACCAGCCGTACTGGATTTCTATTTCTATGAATTTTTTGAGATTCCTTCATAAAACGCCTTTGTGTTTTTGAGTGTAGTTGATCTCTTGTATTCAAATATATAATTGCATCATACTAGGCTTGTACAGTTTTGATACACGACTCAAAATTTAAAAAAACGAGACTAGACCTTTGACCTCTACTATGTTTCAGAAACCATTAATTTTTCCATAGAAAATACACGGAAAATACTCCTTCTATTGAAAAATTGGTAGATTTACAATTTTTTTGTGTATTGCGTACAACTCTGAAATTTTTAGAGTGTCAGGGGATTTCAGCATTCCGCTCTTTCCCAATCACGGTAATCTACTCGGGCGCTGTTTTTAATA